GGTGGGGGCGTCGGACGAGGAGGGGGGCGTGGGTGGATTTTGGGTGGGGAACCGTGGGGCGGGGGAGGTCCAGGAACAGAGGTTCCGTGGGTGGGTGTGTCAGACGAGGAGGGGGGCGTCGGTCGATTTTGGGCGGGAAATCGTGGCGTGGGGGGTCCCAAGAACAGAGGTTCCGTGGGTGGAGGTGTCGGACGAGGAGGGGGGCGTTGGTCGAATTTGGGCGGGAAATCGTGGGGTGGGGGGGGGTCCCAAGATCAGAGTTTCCGTGGGTAGAAGTGTCGGGCGAGAAGGGGGGCGTCGGTGGATTTTGGGTGTGGAGTCGTGGGGTGGGGGAGTCCTAAGAGCAGAGGTCCTGTGGGTGGGGGCGTCGGACGAGGAGGGGGGCGTTTGTCGAATTTGGGCGGGCAATCGTTGGGTGGGGTGGTCCCAAGAACAGAGGTTCCGTGGGTGGGGATGTCGGACGAGGAGGGGGTCGTCGGTTGATTTGGGACAGGAAGTCACAGGGTGGGCGGGTCCCACGAACAGAGGTTCCGTGAGTGGGTGTGTCGGACGAGGAGGAGGGCGTCGGTCGAATTTGGGCGGGAAAGGTTCATTGGGTGGGAGTGTCGGACGAGGAGGGGGGCGCCAGTCAATTCTGAGCGGGGGATCGTTGGGTGGGGTGGTCCCAAGAACAGAGTTTCCGTGGGTGGGGATCCCGAGGAGGAGGGCGTCGGTTGATTTTGGGCGGGAAATCGTGGGGTGTGCGAGTTCTAAAAACAAAGGTTCTGTGGGTGGGGGCGTCGGACGAGGAGGGGGGCGTCGGTGGATTTTGGGTGGGGAACCGTGGGGCGGGGGAGGTCCAGGAACAGAGGTTCCGTGGGTGGGTGTGTCAGACGAGGAGGGGGGCGTCGGTTGATTTTGGGCGAAGAATCGTGGGGTGGGGGGGGCCCAAGAACAGAGGTTCCGTGGGTGGGGATGTCGGACGAGGCGGGAGGCGTCGGGTGATTTTGGGCAGGGAAGCGAGGGGTTGGCGGGTCCCAACAACAGAGGTTCCGTGGGTATGGGTGTCTCCTCTCTGCGGTTTCCTCCGCCCTCTCCAACTCATCCTCCCCAGGGAACCCGCTACGTCCAGCTGCGGCGAATAAACGGGCCCCCGAAGTACCTTGTGGGCCTGCCTGTCTTAAGTAAGCCGTAGTGGGTGGACCGTGGGAAGTCATGGAAGCCACTTGGGCCGTTTTCGTGGTCTTGGAAGCCCCGGAAAGGAACTGTCATGGAATAGAGATCCCAAGGAGTTCGACCATCCAGCCTAGCTAGACCTCGAGCGCGCACGAAGCGCGCGCGATTTATAACGGTGCAACGGGCTCAGGGGCCGAGGGCCGGAACGTCGACCAAATGTGGGACCGGGGCCCCGGCCCGCCTTTGGGAGGCTTCAAATCGTCCCGGGGAGCCCTCAGACAGCAATCCCGGCGGCCCCAGGCGGTCTCGAGACACCCCCAAGACGTCGTCCATTGGTCTCTGGCGACGCACGATGCGTTTTAAACTGCCCAGGAGGCCCCAAGAGGCATTTAAGATGCCGCCCAAGAGTGCCGGGCAAAATCGTTGATTTTCATGTCTGATTCAATGTTTTGTTGCATTATCGTTGTTTCGTGTTTCCGGCGCTACAGCACCGCCCAAAAGGCTCCCAAAACCGCTCCAAGACGGCCCAAGAGGCCCCCAAGAGGGCCCCAAGACGGCCCAAGAGAGCCCCGAGACGGCCCCAGAGCCGCCCAAGGCGGCGCAAGAGGGCCCCAAGAAGGCCCCAAGAGGGGCCCAAGAGAGGGAACGCGAACTGAAACATCAAGCTCTCCGCCCCAAGATGCCCCCCAAAGGCCCCAAGATGCCCCCAGAAGCCCCCAAGAGGCCCCAAGAGGTCACCAAGAGGCCCCAATAAGCCCCCAAGAAGCCCAAAACAGGCCCCAAGACGGCACCCAAAAGTCTTCAAACTTCTTCCTAAGAGGCCCCCGAAGACATGCCAAGAAGGTACCATGACGATTTCAAGAAGCAGTCCAGGATGGCCCCGAGAAGCTAGCTGGAACTTGAGCGCGCGGAAAGCGCGCGCGGTGGTTCTAATTTTCGTAGGGTGAGAGAAACAGCGCACAAAGAAGGTCCGGGAGGGTGGGGGTGTCAGACGTGGTGGGTGGCGCGGTGGGGGTCCCAGCGAGTGTTTTCGTAGGGTGGTGGGCCCCTAAAACAGCACACAAAGGAGGTCAGGAGAGTGGGGGTGTCAGACGTGGTGGGTGGCGCGGTGGGGGTCCCGACGTGTGTTTTCGTAGTGTGGGGGGCCCCTAAAACAGCACACGAAACAGTTTCAGGAGGATGGGGGTGTCAGACGTGGTGGGTGGCGCGGTGGGGGTCCCGGCGCGTGTTTTCGTAGGGTGGGGGGTCCCTAAAACAGCACACAAAGAAGGTCCAGGAGGGTGGGGGTGTCAGGGCGTGGTGGGTGGCGCGGTGGGGGTTCCAGCGCGCGTTTTTCTAGGGGGGGGGGTCCCTAAAACAGCATACAAGGAAGGTCCAGGAGAGTTGGGGTGTCCGACGTGGTGGGTGGCGCGGTGGGTGTCCCGGCGCGTGTTTTCGTAGGGTGGGGGGTCCCTAAAACAGCACACAAAGAAGGTCCAGGAGGGTGGGGGTGTCAGGCGTGGTGGGTGGCGCGGTGGGGGTCCCAGCGCGTGTTTTTCTAGGGGGGGGTCCCTGAAACAGCATACAAAGAAGGCCCAGGAGAGTTGGGGTGTCTGACGTGGTGGGTGGCGCGGTGGGGGTCCCGGCGCGTGTTTTTGTAGAGTTGGGGGTCCGTAAAACAGCACACAAAGAAGGTCCAGGGAAGGGGGGGGTATGATACATTATTCTCTTGCACAGCTGTGCTCTAGAGCTCGGACATCTTTATTCTCTTGCACAGCTGTACTCTAGAGCTCGGACATCTTTATTTTCGTGTCGTGTCGTGTCGTGTCGTGTCGTTCGTCCCCCTGCCCCCCCCCCTGCCCCACCCCGCCCAGGCTCCCCAGGGCAGCCCCCCTGGGCCTCGGACACCTTTATTTTCGTGTCGTGTCGTGTCGTGTCGTTCGTCCCCCTGCCCCCCCCTCCGCCGCCCCCCCCCCGCCCAGGCTCCCCAGGGCACCAGGGCAGCCCCCCTGAGCCTCGGACACCTTTATTTTCGTGTCGTGTCGTGTCGTTCGTCCCCCTGCCCCCCCCCCCTGCCCCCGCCGCCCCCCCCCCGCCCAGGCTTCCCAGGGCAGCCCCCCTGAGCCTCGGACACCTTTGTGCAAGAGCCAGGGCACGCGTGCCACTTGTTTTCGTGTCCTGTCGTGTCGTGTCGTTCGTCCCCCTGCCCCCCCCCTCTGCCCCCCCCCGCCCAGGCTTCCCAGGGCAGCCCCCCTGAGCCTCGGACACCTTTGTGCAAGAGCCAGGGCACGCGTGCCACTTGTTTTCGTGTCGTGTCGTGTCGTTCGTCCCCCTGCCCCCCCCCTGCCCCCCCCGTCCAGGCTCCCCAGGGCAGCCCCCCTGGGCCTCCCGTCCAGGCTCCCCAGGGCAGCCCCCCTGGGCCTCGGACACCTTAATTTTCGTGTCGTGTCGTGTCGTTCGTCCCCTTGCCCCCCCCCCTGCCCCATCCCCGCCCAGGCTTCCCAGGCTCTTGGGGAGCCACTGGTCCTGGTCCTGGCCTCCCTGGCCCCGCTGGCTCTGGTGTCCTGGACCCAGCCTCCCCGCTCCGGCCCTTGCCACAAAAAGTGAACTCCTGGAGGAAGGAGGCGAAAGCTTCCTGTCTCCAGCAGCTCCTTTGTGCAAGAGCCAGGGCACGCGTGCCACTTGTTTGGGGGAGACGGTTACTGAGTACCGTGCGGGGATCCATATTAGAGCTCGCCATCTTTGTGGCTCTGCGAACTGCGAAACAGTCGCTCCTTTCGAAGGCTGCTGGGGGGGCAGGGTACACTGGGCACCGAGCGAGGATTCAGATTAGAACTCGCTATGCTTGTGTTGATGCGATCTGCGAAACTATCGCCACTTTCGAAGGCTGCTGGGGGGGGCACTACTTTTTGGTACCGAGCGGGGAGTCAGACTAGACTTAGCCATGCCTCAGGCGCTGCGATCTGCGAAACCGTCACCACTTTCGAGGGCTGCTGGGGGGAGGAACATTGGGTACCGAGCGAGGATTCAGATTCGACCTTGCCATGCCTGGGGCGCTGCGATCTGCGAAACTGTCCCCACTTTCGAGATCTGCTGGGGGGGCCAGCATACTGGGTACCGACCGAGGATCCAGATAGACATCGCCATGCCTGTTGTTGTTCATGTGAACTTCGAATCCGTCGCCGCTTTCAAGGGCTGCTGGGGGAGGCATCACGCTGTGTACCGAGCGGGGATTCAGATTAAACTTCGCCATCCCTGTGGGTTAGCAGCTGCGATACTGTCGCCGCGTTCGTGGTGTCTTGTGGGGTCCGTTTGATGGCGGTTTGACACAGGTCAGAGCGGGAGGCAAATGTTTGTCTTTCTATTGGTGTCCTGTCAGCCTCCCAAGTATCAGCCTGACGAAGTAGCTTTCACAACAAATGGTGGTTCTTGCCATGCTATCACCCCTGAACGTTCGTTATATCCAGCTGATATGAACACTTGCTGGGCAAGGGTTGGGAACGCCGCCAGAGCAGCTGAAGATCCCGGGGCCCGGTGAGGGCTGTCGGAGGCCGCAAGTCGCCCTCTCTTTCCGCCGTGTCTGCTTGTTCACGGCGAGGGGATGCCAAGGTGATGCCTCAACATCGCCCCTATCCCCGGCCCCATCCCCACCCTGTCCCCCACCATCTTCCCCCCCCCCTCCCCCACGCTGGGGATACACCCTTCGAAACTTGAAGGAATCGGCCTACATTCCCTTCTATGGGGAGTAATCGGCCAGTTCGGCCCAGGCCATGCCGCTGGGGATCGGGTTCGCATGAACGATGTTCGATGCCGCGCCCAAGAGGCGCGTCCCTCTGGAGGCGGCCGCTCTTCCCACTGGTGTGCAGGTACGTGTACGAGCACACCGCCCCTGGCGGTGAGGTGCTCTTCACGCCGGCGACGTGGGACCTGGAGGCCCTGGTCGGCGCTCAAGGGACGGGGTTCAGTGCACACGGGTGTCAGAGCGGAGCCAGGGGTGCATTGACCAGGCCCTGCGTGCACGATCTTTCAGGATCTTGCAGGATCCTGCAAAGCCTAGCCCACCCACGTTTGCATTGACCCAGGTCAGTAGGTCCCCGACTTGGTTCGGTGGGAATGGAGGAGGACAGATCAGGAGGGAAAGAAGCACACAGACACACTTAATCGTCGAATCCCCAGAACATGTGGGAAAATATGGGAAGTGGGGGGGAAGACAGAAACCCAGAAAATATAGGAAAATATAGGGAATCTGTTTATTTGTGTGTATTTATTTGTGTGTCCCAGAGCCCCTTCAATAGAGAGGCCGCGACCCTCGAGGGGGGCCCGAAAGGCTCGATCCTCGATCCTTGGCCTCCCCGGGAAGGCGGGCTCGACGCGCGATCAGTGATCTTCGATATCTTCGATGAGTGTCGGGCGGGCGTTGAGGGGGGGGGACTCCAGTGGGGAGTGGAGAAAGCTAGGGGTCCCAAAGGGGCCTCTTTCTCCACCCCCCATTGGATCGGTGGTGCGTTTTCGTCGGTTCTCGAGTCTCCCCCTCCTCCCAGGAGGAGGAGGAGGAGAAGGAGGAGGAGGAGGAGGAGGAGGAGGATCGTAATGATGATGATTGTGATGATGATGCTGCTGATGATGATGCTGATGATGATGGTGCTGATGATGATGGTGGTGGTGATGATGGTGATGATGATGGTGATGATGCTGCTGCTGCTGCTGCTGCTGAGGAGGAGGAGGAGGAGGGGGAGGATGCCTTCGGCAGGCTGCGCCTCGCCAGAGGCCTCCCCGGGGTGTCCGAGTCGTCTGGGCCCGCAGGGCGCAGCGCGGAAGGCCGGCGCTGCGCCCCGGCGGTGCGGAGGTGGCGCTGCGGCGGCACGCAGAGCTCCAGCGGCTCCTCGGCCTCGGCGCGACCCACGGAGAGATGCGGGCCGCTGTGCGGCGCATGGCGGCGGCCTCCGAGGCCGCGGAGGAGGCCCGCGCCGCGGGCCGCGTCAAGCAGGGGCGGAGCGTCCTAGCTCGCTTGTAGGCCCTTAGGGCTTAGGGTTTCGGCACGAGGTGTTCGTGGAACATTTTTGGCTGGGACTGTCGTGCGTTAACACGTCGGGGTTATGTCCTAAGAGCAGTGTTATTGTTCGTAGAACATGTTTGGGTTCTAAGAGCATGTCGTGGTAGGCCTATGAGATTGCCGGGACGGTCGGTCCCAGCTCAAGAGAGGGAGCCGGCTCAGATCGAGGAGTGTTTGGGCATCGCTTGGGCTGGCCTTAGCTCATGCGGAACATGCGTTTGGGGTTGCGTGGCGTCTGCTGCGCGAGTACGAAGATGCGCTGCCCAGCGAGTGGTTATTGCGGATTCCTTAGAATGTCACCCACGATTCTCCTTGCACGCTTTTCGCCCACCATCATCCCCAACCACGCAACGCCAGCGCAGCATCATCATCATCATCATCATCATCATCATCATCATCATCATCATCATCATCATCATCATCATCATCATCATCATCATTATCATTATCATTATCATTATCATCATCATCATCATCATCATCATCATCATCATCATCATCATCATCATCATCATCATCATCACTAGGGGGCCACATGCGAACCCTACCCCTACCCCCCTCGATATGTCTCCGCGAGATCGTCGTTATCGTAATTGTCATCACTGCCATCATCGTCATCGTCGTCATCGTCGTCGGGTCGTCGTCGTCGTCGTCGTCGTCGTCGTGCTTGTCGTCATCGCTCTCGTCGTCGTCGTTGTCGTCGCTCGTCGTCGTCGTGCTTTTGTCGTTCTTCGTCGTCTCCGTCGTCTTCGTCGTCGTCCCTCGTCGTCGCCGTCGTCGTCGTCCCATGCACGCCGTCATCCTCATCGTCCTATTAGTGACCGTTCTGAACTCCGAATGATTGCATTGGGAGCGTGGCCCGTCTATGATTATTGCTCGGGTTCGTGGTCCTGGGAGCGCGGACCCAGCGTTCCTCAAAATAGGCTCGTTGCCTACATTTTACGCTTTGCAGATCTGATTACTCACGCGCCGATCGTGGGCCCGAAGGGGTCAGCGGATCATGATGTTTCAAATTCGCACGCCGAAGTCCCGGATGACGGGCCGGCGAAGTATGATTTCTATGTGCTTCCCAGCTCGAATCATGAACAACGATGTAGTTCCCCAGGAAAAGCACAACAACTCACTCATTCCGGCTCCTCCTCGCAACATTTATGGCCCAAGCCGTTTTGTTTTTCTTTTTTGGGGGCAGTGCATAAGAGTACCCCGAATCAGGCTCAGTGGATCCTGGACCAAACAGGCGCCTGCGGCTGTCCTGCCAAACCTTCCACGCGCCCCATAAGAAATCGTCGTCGCATGCGCGAAGGGCCCCAGGGTTCCTCGAGCATGGATCGGGCGCTCTCGCCTTCGCTCTGGCCACGCACGCCCCCGCCCAATTCTGAGTGAAGGGCGTTCCCGCGATGCGCCGGCCTCAGAGCGGCCCCGGCAATATTCATCAGCCTTTTGCGCCCCTCCAAACGGGCTGGGCGGATTTCAAGGATGACGAGGGCAACGCGTGGGTCTTCATTAGGTCCAATGGCAAGACGCTGCTCGTGTGGCGTCGGCTCTGCAATGCTGCTGGGCTGACAGGCGCATGGCCTGCCGGGGAGGTGAACGTGCCAGGTGGTCTCTCGAGATTTCGGTTGAGTCAACGCGAGATCCCACAAACCCGCGGCGTTTGCCGACGCCCCCCCCCCCCGCAAGGAAGGGTTGATATAATTAGTGGCCTTCGGCCTATCCCGCCACAGTGTCTGGGTTATTGCGGGTCAAAGGCCTGTTAGATGTTCGTCGGGATCTCTCGATGCTGCTCGGGGGTCGCTTGGGGGCAGTTTCGAGACCGCTCGGGGCCGTCTTGGGGCATCCTGGGGCACTCTTTGGGGCCTCTCGGGAGCCTCTCGGGGACTCCAGGGGGGCTCTTCTTATTGCGGTGGAAGGCTCGGATGTTCGGTTCGCGCCCGGGGCCGTTTTCGGGCTCTCTTCTTGGGCCGTCTCGCGCGCTTCTCTGGCCGTCGCTGGGCCCTCTTGGGGCACTCTAGGAGGCAGGACGGGCGTCATGGCCCCCGCCCCCCCCCCCCTATGACGTAACGCTCCCCCCCCCCCCAGTGCGTTCCGGGCACTGCCGCCGTGCGCGTTGGGATCCGCGCAGGTGTCCGCGTAGGAATCCGCATAAGTGTCTGGTCCGCAGGCGTCGTCGTCGTCGTCGTCGTCCGTCGTCGTCGCTCGCGGTTCGTCGCTCGTCGCTCGTCGCTCATCGTCGTCGCGCGCGCGGGCGCGGTTGGAGCATGTTTTTTTGCCCGGGCCGATGACGGCAATCATCTGGGGGGGGGAGGGGGTCGATGACGTCGCGTTTCGCGCCGGCGGCGTCTGGGAACGCTTAGGAATCACGGAGGACGGGCAGCACGAACATGTAAGTGGCGATATGTACCACAACGCTTGTGTACATCACAGTGCCCGCGTGCACCGCAGCGCCTGTGTACACTACGCCGCCGACGTACACCACAGCAACCGCGTGCAACACAGCGTCAGTTTGTGCCACCGGGCCTGCGGGCACAGCAGTTCCTGTGTACACCACAGCGCCTCCGTACCCCACATCAGCCGTGCGCAACACAGCACCAGCGTACACCGCAATGCCTGCGTGCATTGCATTGCCTGTGTGCGCCACGGCGCCTGCGTGCAGCACATCAGCCGCGTGCAACACAGCACCATTGTTGTGTATAGAATTTCAGGAGGGATCCTCGTGACAAAATGGAGCGCGTGTGGATTCCAGGGAAAGGGATCCGTGTGCATGATCCCCCCTCAGCACCTCCCAGAAGGGGGCGGCGAGATCTCGCGGTGATCCGCGTAGGACGTGCCTCCGCTGGGCCTCCCACAACCTAAGAAAGTGGTGGCAGCTTCGCAGATCGCAGCCCCCCAGGGGGCGGCGAGGTCTCGCGGCGATTCGCGTACGACGTACCTTCGCTGGGCCTGCCAGGAGCCCACGAAAGTGGCGACAGCCTCGCAGATCGCAGCCCCCCAGGAGGCGGCGAGGTCTCGCGGTGATCCGCGTAGTACGTACCTCCGCAGGGCCTCCGAGGAGCCCGCGAAAGTGGCGACAGCCTCGCAGACCGCATCCCCCCAGGTGGCACCGAGGTTTCGCGGTGATCCGCGCAGGTCGCACCTCTGCTGGGCCTCGCGGAAGCCCACGAAAACGATGACGGTCTCGCAGATCGCAGCGGTGATCCGTGCAGGACGTACCTCTGTTGGGCCTCCCAGAAACCCACGAATGTGGCGACATTTTGAAAGTTCGCAGCCCCCCATGGGACAGCGAGGTCTCGTAGTGGGGTCTCCGGGTCGAGGGCCTCGCAGAGCCCAACCTGGCTGGCCCGGTCGACGGGCTCCAGACGGCGCAGAGGGCTGAGGTGACGGCCGCCGCAGCGGCGGCTCGCGTAGTCGGTGGCCCCATCGACCTCGCCTCGGACAGCCAGTACGTGGTTCGGGCGTGCGCCCAGATCGAGGCCGGCGCTGACATGCGGGACTGGGAGCATGCCGACTTGTGGCACCTTCTGGTGGTCGCCGTGCGCAGCGGCCGGCTCCGGGCCCGCTGGGTGCCTGCTCACAAGACGCCTGCGGAGGCGCGCCGCCTGGGGCTGAGCGAGAGGGACCGCCTCGGCAACGCGGCGGCGGACGGCAACGCTGGCGCCGCCGCGGCGAGCAGAGCTCCGCCGCCAGACGCGGTGCGCACCCGCCGCCGGGAGCTGGAGCTGCTGGAGGCCGCGCAGCGCGTGATGGCTGCCGCGCAGCAGGCCGCCTTAGCGGCGGCGCCGCCGGCCGCGCGCCGCCGTCGGCGCGACTGGCGCGGGGTGCGCCGCGGGGCCTGGGCCCGCCCGGCTTCCGCGCCGCCGGACGCCGCGCCCGCCGGACGCGCGTTTCCGCCAGCGCCGCCGCCGCGGCGCAGCGGCGCCGACGACCCTGTCCGCCCAGGCGCCATGCTGGCTGCCTTCTTCGCAGGGCGGTCGTGGTGGCCGCACGCCCTCGCGCAGGGGCCTGGCCAGGTCGTCTGCCTCCGGTGTGGCGCCAGCGCCGCGGCGCCTGCGGAAGTGCTGGGTTGTGCATGCCCGGGGTGGAAGGAGCGGCTGCCGGCGCGCGGGCAGGCGTTACTCCTTCTCGGTGAATTACGCTTCGCTGGGGGCAGCGCGGCGGACTTTGCATGCCTCGCTGCGCAGCGACGCGCGCAGCTCCCCAAAGCGCCGGACTGATCGGCGCCTTCCCGGGCGCCCGCGGCTGCGCGGGGCGCCTGCTGTCCGCTCGTCAAAGTGACGTCACTCCGCTGGGCCTCCCAGGGGCCCACGAAAGTGGCGACAGCTTTGCAGATCGCAGCCCCCCAGAGGGCGGCGAGGTTTCGCGGAGCTCCGCGTATGACGTCATTCCGCTGGCCCTCCGAGGAGCCCACGAAAGTGGCGACATTTCCGCATATCGCAGCCCCCCAGGTGGCGGCGAGGTCTTTCGGCGATACGCGTAGGGACGCACCTCCGCTGGGCCTCCCAGGAACCCACGAAAGTGGCGACAGCTTCGCTGACCGCATGCCCGCAGGTAGGGGCGGGGTCTCCTGCTGATCCGCGTATGACGTCACACCGCTGGCCCCCCCAGAAGCCCACGAATAGAACAGTGACGGAGATCTCTACCCCCCAGGCGACGGCGAGGTTCCGTGGTGATCCGCGTGTGACGTCACTCCTCTGGCTTTCCCAGGAGCCGACGAAAGTGGTGATTATTCGATGATAGCAAGCCCCAAAGGGACGGCGAGGTCTCGTGGCGATCCGCGTGTGACATCACTCCGTTGGGCTTCTCAAGAGCCCACGAAAATCATGACAGCTTCGCAGATCGCAGCCCCCCAGGGGGCGGCGAGGTCTCGCGGCGATCCGCGTATGACGTCATTCCGCTGGGCCTCCCAGGAGCCCACGAAAAAAAAAAAGGCGGCACTCTCGCAGATCGCAGCCCCCCAGGGGGCGACGAGGTTTCGCGGTGATCCGCGTAGGACGTACCTTCGCTGGCCCTCGCAAAAGCCCACGAACGTGGCAGCAGTTTCGCAAACCGCGGGCACGAGGCAGGAGGCAGAAGGCAGGCGGGAAGAGAGAGAGGAAAAGGAGGGAGAAGGGGGGAGGCGGAGGAGGGGGGGAGGAGGAGGCAGGACGGAGATCACGGTGCTCTGTTCAAAACGAGAACCCAACCAAAGGAGGGTTGGGAATTGAGCAGGAAGCGAGAGAGAGGCGAAGAGGAAGGACGAGGAGGAGGAGGAGGAGGAGGAGGAGGAGGAGGACGAATAGGAGGAGGAGGAGGAGGAGGAGGAGGAGGAGGAGGAGGAGGAGGAGGAGGAGGAGGAGGGAGGAGGAGAGGGAGGAGGAGGAGGAGGAGGAGGAGGAGGGGAGGAGGAGGAGAGGAGGAGGGAGGAGGAGGAGGGAGGAGGAGGAGTGAGGAGGAGGAGGAGGAGGAGGAGGGAGGAGAGGAGAGGAGGAGGAGGGAGGGAGGCGGAGGAGGAGGAGGAGGAGGAGGAGAGGAGGAGGAGGAGGAGGAGAGGAGGAGGATGAGGAGGAGGAGGAGAGGAGGAGGAGGAGGAGGAGGAGGAGGAGGAGGAGGGGAGAGGAAGAGGAAGAGGAAGAGGACGAGGAAGAAGAAGAAGAAGAAGAAGAAGAAGAAGAAGACGAAGAAGAAGAAGAATAAGAAGAAGAAGAAGAAGAAGAAGAATAATAAGAAGAATAAGGAAAAGAAGAAGGAGGAGGAGGAGGAGAAGAAGAATAATAAGAAGAAGAAGAAGAAGAAGAAGAAGACGAAGAAGAAGAACAGAAGAAGAAGAAAAGAAGAAGAAGAAGAAAGATGAAGAAGAAGAAGAAGAAAAGAAAGGAGGAGGATGATGGAAGGAGGAGGAGGCGGGGGAAGAGGAGAGGAGGAGGAAGGGAGGAAGGGAGAGAGGAGAGGAGGAGGAGGAGCAGCAGCAGGATAATGGGAAGGAGGAGGAGGGGAGGAGGAGATGGAGACCACAGTGCTCTAGTCCAAACGAGAAACCAACCAAGGGATGTTCGGGAAAATTTGGAGGTCCGCGCGGATTTCTCGGATCCGAGCTGGTCCCCGCGGGCGGCGCCTCCAGCGCCGATCCTAGAAATCCGCGCGGACCTCTGAAAGTTTGTTTTGTTTATGGCATTGTTCGTTCCCCTGTAATTGCCGTCGGCCGCGCGCAAAGGGGGGCGGGGGGAAGTGGGGGAGGGCTTCTTACAAGCACCCCGGGTTCTCAGAAGGCGCGGGCCTCAGCTGTAGACTCAGGGCCGGCGCCTTCTGAGGAGCAGCCTCGTTCTAAAAAGCCTCCCCCCCTCCCCCTACCCTTTGGCGCGCGCCGCCAGCTGGGGGGCGGGACGGCCCACCCCGCTCCGGAGCGTGCCGACTCGTGATCGGGGGCCTGTTGCCGACCCATCGGCGATGTGCCGCCGTTGCAAGGTCAGTGTGAGTATGGCCCCCACGAGCTGGCCTTAAATCGGGCCTGTTCCCCTACAGGGGATTTTCGACGAAACATTAAAAATACGCCACAAATAATCCAAAAATAATCCAAAAATGTTCGGGGGATTATTCTTTAAGTATTTTTTCGCATTTTTGGTGCATTTTGGAGGTATCTTTTTTTTCATCGAAAATCCCCCTGTAGGGGGACACGCCCGACTTAAAGCTGGCCCCTCCCCCGTGAAGTCTGCCCCCATCCGGGGGGAAAGAGCCCCGACGGAGCCGCGTCGTGGGCGAGCCCCTCGACGGTCTGGGCCTTCGCCAGCGTGCGGAGCCCGACGTGTCAGCACCGGAGCACGCAGCAGTGCAGGGAGAAGGTCCGGGCAGCCCACCCCCCCTGGCGCTGTCTGTGCACCTGCACATCTCCTCCTCCTCCTCCTCCTCCTCCTCCTCCTCCTTCTCCTCCTCCTCCTCCTCCTCCTCCCCTCCTATTCGTCCTCCTCCCCCTCTCCTCGTTCCTCCCCCTCCTCCACCCCTCCTCCTCCCCTCCCTCCCTCTCCATCCTCCTTTCCCCTCCTCCTCCCTCCTCGTCCTCCCCTCCTCCCCTCCTCCTCCTCCCCTCCTCCTACTCCTCCTCTCCTCCTCCTCCTCCTCCTCCTCCTCCTCCTCCTCCTCCCCCCCTTCTCAGGCAGTGGCGAAGCGTCATGGCGTGCCCGTAGGCCCACCAGACAATGTTCTGAGAACCTCTTGTGGTCTGCACGGCATGTTCTCAGAACATGTTCGGCCGCTATTGCCTGATTTTAAAACATCGGGTTGATGTTCTAAGAAAACCGATATTGTTCTTAGATCATTTTTGGGTTCTAAGAACGTTTCGTGGTAGACCTGTAGAAATGCCGGGACGGTCGGTCCTTGCCCAACCTTCCCCCCTTGGCCCTTTGACCCGGCCGCATCGGCAAACGACATCCCCACCCTCATTGAGGGCGCCTTGCGCTACCGACGACGAGGTGCACAACGAGACATGGACGACATCAATTCTCAACACGCGGCAGCTCCAGGCTTCCCAGATGTGGTCAGAATAGATGGGGTCGGTGGATCGCGCCGCATCGCCAATGCAGCGACGATGCGGCTTGATATGGAGCCAGAATTTCTCCATTTCGGCGTCGCCGATGTATTGCCGACGTTGCAGGTGCATCGGCGATGCTGCGCGATCCTCCGACCCTCAATTCTCAGCGTGCAGCAGCAGAACCTTCGACGCACCGACCCGTGACGTGCCCCCCTCACCGATCCCGAAGCGCCGCCCAGGAGCAGCAGCGGCTCGCGGACCTGCTGCGTGGGCACCTGCGCGCATTCCAGCGGCTCCTGCGCTGGCACGGCCGTCGGCCCGAGGGCGCCCGGGCCCCAGCGGGCGCCGCTGTCGTCGCCGTTCCCGGCCATGCGAGAGAGCGACCCTTCGACGGAGCGGCTCTTGGCGCGGTCGCTTGGGCGTGCGTCGCGTAATGGGAGGGCGATCAATGGGGGTCAGCGAGGGCTGCAGAGAAGGAGGATGCCTTTGGGGCCCGAAGAAGGCACCTTTCACCCCCCCCCCCCATGTATCGCCCCCCCCCCCCCGAAGCGACGCCCAGGGCACACTGTGATCTCCGGAGGGCCGAGCGCGGTGCGGTGCGACAGAAGCGGCTCGCGCGCTCCAGCTCGGCCTCCCCGCGGCCCCCGCAGGTCGCGCACCAGAGAGGGCACTCCCTGCGTGTCGCCGACGTCCGCCGCTCCCCCCCCTCTCGGGGGCAGCCCCTGTAGGGGAGGAGCGGCCCGGCAGCGGGATGCAGCGACGCTCGGTCGCCCGCGGGTCGCCTCCCAGGGGGCCCGGTGGCCCATGCCGCCCAGGAGCGCGCGGACTCGCTATCGGGTGCCCATCGGCGATGCCTCGACGCTTCCGGGTCGATGTGCCCCCCTCCGGAGCCGGTCCCCCGTCGTCGCCCTCGTCGTCGCTGGAGGTCGGGGGGAGGGGCGTGGTACGCAAAGGGGTGTGGTGCAAGTCGTGGGAATGGCGATGCTGTCTACGACAGATCGCCTCGCCAGATCCGGCAGTTGCACCACGCCCCTCTGCACCCCACCCCTTCCCTGCCCCCAGAGCTTCGTCGTGCTCGTCCTCCGCATCGTCGCGTCGCGGTGTCGAGGTCCCTGTGGGCTGTTGGTGCCTCGCGGGGGCGCCTCGTCGCCACGGCCGGCTCCGCCCCGAGAGGCGAGCCGGGAGGGGCCCCCCTGGAGGGGTCCAGGGGGGGTCGAGCTTGAGCGGATGCGGGCCGGAGAGCCCCGAGAGCCCGCAGTGTTGCTGGGTTGTTGCGTGCAGGTGCATTGGTTTCCATAGGGTCGGACCCAAAGATCCAATGTATTGAAAAAATCAAGGCGGAGTTGTTGTTATACACTTTTCGGCCTCCAGGGGCCCTCGCGGGGCCCCAGGACCGTCAAAAACACGACTCATGCTGCAAAACCGGTCCCAGGGAATGGATCAAGATTTTCGAGGACCCCGTATGAAAAAAATCACGACATCGGATCCCAGGCGGATTTTCGAGGAAAGATATTTGAAAATTCATCAGAGCATCGTCCTCAGACATTTGTTGCTGCTACTTTGGAATGTTCCTTCTGCAGAGGGACGTGCCCGACTTAATCCTGGGCGCCCGCGCGGCCCGCGACGACAGTACGGCGCTCCGCGCGTCGCGGCCCGAGCTGGAGGCGCCGCCGGGGCGCCGCGCGCTGGGTCGCGAAGGTCTTGTCACGCTCGCCGAGCGCGCTCCGCTGCTCGCAGAGTGCCTACTCGCAAACGCCCGAAAAGCACACGTCTGCTCCGATGTGCTTTACCGTAGATCCCCCGCGGCGGATCCAGGCCATTTGCGATCAGCCCTTTTGCGAGCAGTGGAACGCGCTCGTCTGCACGCGCTGCGGCGGAGCGAGGCTCGAAGCCGGGCGACCCAGCTCGTCAACGGCTTGCCCGCAAGTCGGGCGTGTCCCTCTACAGGAGGAATATCCAAAGATGCTCAAACAATAGTCTGGGGACGATGCTTCGACTATCCTTTTTAACATGTTTGAGCACGTTCGGGGTATTCTTTATGTCCGTTCAAAATCCGCCTGTATGGGGGGGCATGCCCGACCTAAGCTTACCCCACTCCAGTCAGCGGAAATCTGAGTTGGGTGCCAGGCTCTCCTCTCCAGACTGGCCCCTGTTGCTGGCAGTTTCGAGAGGTCCTGGCACGGTGAGCTCAAGCCGGGCGTGGCCTGTTCCGTGCCGTCTCTACAGTGTAGGCCCGTGCCAAGAAACACCCTTCTTGCCTCCAGGGTGCCCTGGGTTGGGTGTCGATGGATTTGCTTTGGAAGGCGTGACGTTCCCACACCAAACATCCATGGACGTCCTGGGGTCTCAGGGTTGGGTTTCTTGTGGAAGGTTTCTTGTGGACGGGCCTCCAGTGTAATTACCCCTCTCGTGTCGGTGGAGATCGGAGTTGGGTGCCAGGCTCTCCTCTCCAGGCGGATCCCTGTTCTTGGCAGACTCAAGAGGTCCTGGCACGGTGAGCTCAAGCCGGGAGTAGCCTGTTCCGTGCCGTCTCTACAGTGGAGGCCCGTGCCAAGAAACACCTTTCTTGCCTCCAGGGTGCCCTGGGTTTCTTGGGTGTCGAGGGTTTTGCTGTGGAAGGCGTGACGTTCCCACACCAAAAATCCATGGACGTCCTGGGGTCTCAGGGTTGGGTTTCTTGTGGAAGGTTTCTTGTGGACGGGCCTCCACTGTACCACTCGTGTCAGCGGAGATCGGAGTGGCGTGCCAGGCTCTCCTCTCCAGGTGGGTCTCTGTTCTTGGCAGTCTCGAGAGGTCCTGGCACGGTGAGCTCTATTGGGAGTGGCCTGTTCCGTGCCGTCTCTACTTTGGAGGCCCGTGCCAAGAAACACCTTGCTTGCCTCCAGGGTGCCCTGGGTTTCTAGGGTGTCGATGGATTTGTTTGGGAAGGCGTGACTTTCCCACACCAAACATCCATGGACGTCCTGGGGTCTCAGGGTTGGGTTTCTTGCGGAAGGTTTCTTGTGGACTGGTTTCCACTGTACCCCCCTGCTGTCAGCGGAAATCGGAGTTGGGTGCCAGGCTCTCCTCTCCAGACTGGCCCCTGTTGCTGGCAGTCTCGAGAGGTCCTGGCACGGTGAGCTCAAGCCGGGAGTGGCTTGTTCCGTGCCGTCTCTATAGTGGAGGCCCGTGCCAAGAAACGCCCTGATTGCCTCCAGGGTGCCCTGGGTTTCTTGGGTGTCGAGGGTTTTGCTGTGGAAGGCGTGACGTTCCCACACCAGAAATCCATGGACGTCCTGGGGTCTCAGGGTTGGGTTTCTTGTGGAAGGTTTCTTGTGGACGGGCCTCCACTGTACCCCGCTCCAGTCAGCGGAAATCGGAGTTGGGTGCCAGGCTCTCCTCTCCAGGCGGATCCCTGTTCTTGGCAGACTCGAGAGCTCAAGCCAGGAGTGGCCTGTTCCGTGCCGTCCCTAGCTTGCCCAGCGTTGTGGCTCTTTACGATCGGCCCCGTGGTCGCCGCATGCTCGCGGCAGCTGACCGAGGTCAACGCCGTACTCGCAGGCCGCGGGCGGGCGTGGGTCTCGCCAGTCGGATGGTGGGCGTGGTGTGTACTGTGCAGTGGAGGCCCGTGCCAAGAAACGCCCTGCTTGCCTCCAGGGTGCCCTGGGTTTCTTGGGTTTCGAAGGTTTTGCGGTGGAAAGCGTGACAATAATCAATCGACGGACGCCCTGGGGTCTCAGGGTTGGGTTTTTTGTGGGAGGTTTTTTGTGGACTGGCCTCCACTGTATGGGGGACAATGGCTGGTGGGCGCAGGATGGGTGGAGGGATGGGTCGATGGAGTGGGCGCATGGAGGGGTGGAGCTCAGTGGGGAAAAGGGTGCCCATACTGCTATCCTTCAGTTGGGCGTGTCCCTTTACAGGAGGAACATTCCAAAATAGTCTGGGGACGATTTCTTTTTTTTTTTTGAATATGTTGCGGGCAGTTTTGGAGTATTTGTTTTTCGTCCAAAATCCGCCTCTGGCGGGACATGCCCGACCTAACGATATTCTTCCCTGGTCTCGTTTTCTTTTTTGTGGCCCCCTATAGGAGGCCGTCGCCACCGCTGGATTCGCCTCGAAATTCTGGTCAGAACGCGTACCGGGAGAGGTCGGGGGAGTAGCGGTATTGATATTTGTTCTTGGTTACCCCAGGACGGATGGGGGGTGGAGCGGAGAGATCGTGCAGATGAGAGGGGACGTGTCAGCGGGACGCATGCATTGAGGCTGGAAGGGGGGGGGAGGCGCAGGTAGGATCGGTTCACGCTTCTATTCGCTCCCTCGCTTCTCCCCTCTTGCCGACGGGCAGCAGGAGGGGAAGGAAGGGGACGCGAGGACAAGTACGCAGTGGAGACGGCGGCTCCTGATCGCCCAACGCGTCACGCCTTTTTTTTCTGGCCGCACATGTGCACTTGCGCGCTTACACGAGCTGGGCCTTCTGTGTCATGGTCGTTACCGCAGGCGGGCATATCGAGAGTCGAGAGAGTGGGATGGGACGACATCTGGACGAGGGTTGTGAAGAGGGGTGCCTGGAGCGGACCAGGAGGAGCGGAGGTAGGAGCAGAGGAGGAGCACTGATGCGGAGGACAGGACGTTACTCAGAACGAGCAGGGGGAAGAAGACGAGGGCCATGTGTATGATGACGGTGGTGATGGTGACGATGACGATGGTGATGACGACAACGACCATGGCGTCGCTGTGAAACCAGAGAAGAGGAGGTGGAGGAGGAGCAGGAGGAGGAGTCTTGCTCGTCTTCGGGCGATGTTCAGTCTACCTCTTGGGTGTCCAGGGGACATTGGAGTGCGCAAGTACGTACAACCGCACGGCGCAGCTTCGAGCTGAACCGTTCGTTTGTTTTTCCTCTTTCGTGCTCTTCCGCCGCTTCCTCCTCCGTCCTGCCCCTCCACCTCCTCGTCATCCGTCTGCCTGCTTCGCCCTCCCCCCCTTTCCGATCCTGCTCCCCCCCGTCAGTTCCTCGCCCTTGTTATCCACTTGCCAGCTTCTTCTTCATCTTCCAGACGCTTTGTAAACGTCTTCAACGCCGAAAATCACATCGTTACGCGTGCGAACAGCAGTTTCCGATCTCTTCAACATCACATTCAGTTCCAAGGAAATGTCAGAACAGCATGCGGTCTCCCGTTCAGAAACTTGCGAACGCCTCCAGAAGCCTCCTTCGCCCGGCGCCGTGCCCCCCACCATCATCAGCACTATTACGTGTTTCCCTCGCGCTTCTCCTCCAAGCGCGCAGCGCATCGTCATCGGCATTAGATATTGGATCGCCCGCTTCTCCTCCAGGCGAGCGGCGCATCATCCTAAGTAGATCACGTTGCTCTAGGGTCCTTCTTGCCCTCCCCCTTGCCTCTTCTCCCTC